GTTTCACCGACTCATCAGGAGGCTGAACCCTCAACAGTCTGCAGAATCCCCTCACTGATTACACTGTAAATGATAATCTACCTTAACCAAAATCAAAGTAGACTATCACTCACCCAACTTCTGGGGGTATTGTGCAAATTATCCCTTTTCTTTTTTATTTCTTTTTTCTTCTTTTTTTTTGGAGGGTGTGCTTCGGAGATCTGATACTGTTATCGGGAGACTTGTCGGAGTCCTCAGTTGTCCGATCGCCGATCGGACAAGTGTAACATCCAGGGGGCTCCCTGATGTCCACCCTGGTAACATAGCTTCAAATTCAAAAGTTATAATTTAACCTTTTTGCGAGTCATAATCGCCTGTCATCAACTCCCAAGAGTCCCAACTTTTGGAGAGAGGTCCTCCATGCTCTGAAAGAACCTCCATTTTTTAGGATCCACCTTGCGAGGGGCCAACAAAACCGGTCTTGCGACTTGCCCTGTTACGTACAGCTCGCACCTCAAGAAGGCAGTTCTCAAACTTCTCGAGTCCTCCCTTCGAGAGCAGTGGAGCGAAGAGGGAAATTTCCATGTTTCAAGGAGCCTTCCCTCTCCTGCACTTGTGTCTCACAGACTCTCATGCACACAGTGCACACAGTACACACAGTTGCTTTGTACCAGTGCCGTCACCGTGAACGTGACCGGCTGGTCATTTGGCCCTGCGCCTGTGAACGGGCAGACGACAAAAGAGTGGTTTCTTTTTTTTTCTTTTTTTTTTTTGGGGGGGGGGGGGGGGGGGGGGGCATCCAACTACAGTCACCTCAAGCCCCACAGCATGATGACATTAAAAAAATAAAAAAAAATCGAAATGACCTACAAAACAACAAACACATATGCTTATTTTTCGCAGGTTGCATCTTTTTCTTCGTTCCTAATTAAAATATATGTATTATTCGTGAAACAAAAATTGAAAAAAATATGGGGAGTTACCCGCGGACGACCCGCACCCTCCTATGAAAAAAAAGCATCCCCCGCCCAGACAAAAAAAAAAAAAAAAAAAAACGATCCCGCTCTATGTGAACTCCTTGAACAACCACTGGTCACGATTTTCATGACTGGTGACCGGCCCTTGTTCACCAACCCCATGAACAGTAAACGGGGGTACGGCACTGCTTTGTACATACTTTTCCGAAGAGGGAAAATAATAAATTATGCCATCAAGTAGCGTAGTATCCATCACGATCGCCTGCACTCTCCCATGTTTCATAGATTTTCATGGATGATGAAATCACCAGTGATGCGGCTTAGCTCTGAAGAGTCTCAACCTTCTTCGAGAGTAGGGAGTAGTTGCCTGTGCTAATAAATCCACACCACTGCAGCACATCAAGTGGGATTTATTAGCACCAGGCAAAATTCTGCATGGGAAAAAAAAGGCAGTCAGAACGAACAAGCACTGCAGTTGGCAATCATGTCACATACACCATAACAGAGCTCCACCGAGGGAAAAATCCCACTTGCGGCAATTTTTTTCCCTTTTTTTTTTTTTGACATCCGAGAGAAGCCTACTGTTGGATCCTGGAGGTGATAAGAGCAGCCTCCAGTAGTAGGATCTCCATTCTAGACGGCTCCGAACTATTGCCAGGGTGGATGTCACCTGCAGTGTTCAATCTCTCATTTCTTTGAGACATGCAAGAAGTGGCAGCAGCCATCAACCCAGATGCACATACGTGATGATACCTACCTCCACAGAGTCCAAACTGGTGGGGCAAGTATTTACATAACTCAGAAAACCCTTTTTAACATGTCTGACTCACTAGAAGCAGGTTATTTCCTTCTAGTACTGAATTCGCAGGAATAACATGTCTGACTCACTGCCTGTCCGCGCCCAGGGCAGTTAGAAAACTGCAAAAAAAGAACAGCCTTGTGCACTTCTACCCACTGCAGTTGGATGTTCGAAAGTGGAAAAATCAGGCGACCCCCACCAATAGATGGTATCAACTAGACGGTTACTAGGAGGGGCTGCTCTTTCCACCACCACCACCACGAAGTAGAAGTCACAACTGTGTTAAACAAACAAACAAAAAAACAAAAAAAAACAAAAAAAAGTGGGCACTTGTTTTTGTTTTCTTTTACAACAAACAACGTGGGTACTTGTTGCTTCTTCATCTTCTTCTTCTTCTTCTTCTTTTTCGCACTCCTATCAGGCGGCCACTTGTTTCTTTTCTTTTTTTCTTTTCCTCTTTTTTTCCAACGCCCATGGCTGGGCCATGGCCGACATGTCTAGGCCACGCCCCGTCATGGCAGAGACGTCTAGGTCATGCCGCCGATGCCGGTGGCTGGGCAACGGCTGAGATGTCTAGGAGTCTAGGCCATGCCCGTGGCTGGGTCACTGCCAAAACAGGTCAGACTCCCAGCAAGTTCTGGAATTTTTTTCCACAAGTTACCTCCATGGTCCTTGCAAAACAAAAGAAAGGTACACCATCAACTCGCCTCCATGATCCTAAAAAAAAAAAAAAAAAAGGTTAGAACAAATTGCAGAAATTCTGAAATAGTAAAATACCGGTTTGCAAACATATCGTACAGCTTAACCGGTCTGCGCAGGTATGGTGACAAACACACACGTCTGCGAGCAGGCCTCTGTTTTTTTTAAGGTGTGTATCTATGCAGAAATACCGGACCAGGTTCGTAACGTTTCAGTTGCAAATATACCGGGCGGTACCTGGTTTTGCAACAGAGGACCCGAGGGCCTTGGAGCCCTTGCATCAGGCCAGGCCGATGGGAGACCTGCTTCGAAAGAAGCAGGTACGGGCCAATAAATGTGCTTTGAAAAACGTTGCTCCTGCAGCTTTAAAAAATAATAATAATAATTATTATTATTATTATTATTTTGCTTCTGCACCACACCACTCACCAAATGTGAAAAAGACACAAATGTGGCAGGTGCATCCAGCCATGTTCTAGCGGTAAGTTAATTCTCAATTTGCAGATTTCGAGAGTGGTGTGGCGATGCCCATATTTGCCAGCATACCTGTGTGGGCCCTGTAAAGTTGCTATGCAACAGTCTTCCCCCGAACACAACGTACGGTCATTATCACTGTATCTAGACTGAAAGTTGCACCAAATACAGCTATAATGACCGGGCATTGTATTCGGGGGAAGACTGTAGGATACACGTTTGCAAACCATCAACTCGCCTTCGAGTCCATGATCCTTAAAAAAACCCAAAAAAGTTAGGACGGTACCATTACCTGCTCACGCCCCAGCCCTCAGGAACACAACTTCCTGTAGGGGTAACCGTAGCTCCCCATTTATGCCACTTGCTGACGTGGCAGGCCCCTTCGGAAGCATGAGTACTTGTTTTCTTTCGCGGTTTGTAACTGCTCTTCGCGCAGACCGGCAGTGTGCAGTTGTTTCCGCCAATTCAGAGTTATTTCCGCCAATTCAGAGCTCTGCACCGCTCACAGGCGCACAGTTATCTCTACTGAAAAACTTGATTGTAAAAAGGAGAAGAGAGGCATATTTGCAGAGCCCAGCGTGTGAAATTGTTTTTCTTTTTCTCCTTTACACTTCTTCACTTGGAAGGATAGTAGGATACCATGCTTTTTTTTTTTCTTTTTTTTTTTTAATTATAACAGTTACTACAACCATCAGATATGAAACAGATTAAAAAAAAAAAAAAATCAATTCCTTCGACTCACTGAAAGAATTGGAAATTTGAATTTGGACGGCAAAAAATTGAAATGAAAAAAATAAATCGATTGAATTCGAACTTAAAAAAAAATCGATTGAAGTTGAACTTAAAAAAAAATCGATTGAAGTTGAACTTAAAAAAAAATCGATTGAAGTTGAACTTGGTGAATGTCGCCGATGTACCGAACGGCAAAATCCAGCAGTTGCAGGAGAATGGATTGAAGACCGAACGAGCTCAATAGACAGCTGCAACAAATTCGTTCATAAAACCTGCACCAACTCACAAGCCCACGGATCAAGCCAAACCCATCGACCAAATTCAGTCACAAAACCTCCAACCACTGCACATACGCCCATAACTTTGAACAAACTGACCTCGGTTCGAATCAGCCTTATAGCTAGACTAAGTAACCCACGGACAAAGCCAAGCCCATCCTCCAGCAACAGCTAACCTTGGGGAAGTTGGGGCAATTCCTTAAATAGCCATTTCAAGTTTCTTTCTTTTTTTCTTTTTTTTTTTGGCCATTTCGAGTTTCAACTACGCACCACCAGAGAGCATCATCACTGGCAGAAAGAGTGAAGGAGGACACTTCTGCCGCCGAGCCGATGTCGAAAGAGACTTTTTGACGTTTTCGTGAAATTTGAAATTTTGCTCGCGCGACGAAATTGAACAAAGATTTTTTTGCCATCACTTTTGATTTTGATCCTTCCACATGCTCGAGTTCCTGGATTGAAGGCGGTAGTATGAGTTGTATGAGTTAACAAGTTAACACTAAATTTGAAAGAATAACAAAAAAAAAGGCAAAAAAATCCTTGTTCAATCTCGTCGCACAAGCAACATATTTCAAAATTAACGAAAAGTCCGAAAAAAAAAAAAAAGAATGTCTGTTTTGAGATAGTGGAACAACCTCGTAGTCTAACATCGACATGCATGACGTTAAAAAGGTAGTCGGAAAAAAAAAAAAAAAAAAAGGTAGTAGGGTGGATCATCACGACAGAGCGCTTACCACGGCAATAGAAGATTAAACCACCAGTGCTAATTGGCCCAGCTATCGGCCGCGAAAAAAAAATAGAGTAGAAACGTTTCCAACTTTCTAGTAAGATGAATTTGGGCGCTCCTGTAGTGGCCCGTACGTTTCCTAAAATCGTGGCGCGTTAACGGGCATGACTTTAGGAAGTACTGGTGATTTAAAAACCTGAGAGAAGACAATGGATCGTCGACTTCAGCCCCAAGAGCTGATACTGGAGTATATGCTCACAACACCCCCAGTAGCAGCCCGCCCAAGGACGAATATTAACAAAAAAAAAAAAAAAGGGGAATGGATCGTCAAGGTATAATGGGAAAAAAAAAATCAGTGTGAAAGAAACAATGTGAGGATGCCAGCTTCGCATAACTACCCTCTTCAGCCAAATAGAGCATTGCTGTCATTTTCGATGCATCTGGACTGAAAGTTGGGGCGTATAGAGATATAACGACCAAACCGTCTTAGTCCAGAGAAAAGGGAAGGGGRSGGGGGGGGGGGGGARGGGGAGGGGAAGACGGTAATGAACTACCTCCTCATTCCGGCTTCTCCCGACCTATTTTGGCCGACGCTAGGAAGTGCCGATTTTACAGGGGGATAAAAAAGCCTTGCCGTGTGAACAATGTGGCTCGATAGCCCGCTGCTTCTCGCTGTTCTTCTTCTTCTTCTTCTTCTTCTTTTTTTTCTTTTTTTTTTTTTTTTTTTTTTTTTTTGGCTTCTCCCTGTGCTCACTTGGGCTGCGCTCCATTTGTCCCATTAAATGGACGTAAATTGATGCGCAAATTTGACGTTTCCCCCAGCGTCGTCGGGTTTCCTTCATTAGTCCTTTGGGACATTCGTTACAATTGGAACGGCTTTATTTGCTTAAAGTCGTGTAATCCAAAATTAATACCAAATATGATGCGAGTCCTACTTCCCATCCTAAAAAAGTTTTTGAAATCAAGTTATCCCCTGTAACTAACATGCGCATAAAAAAGTAAAACATAGATAAATCGCACATAAATCGAGGCAAAAAAGCGCACAGCAATCACACTGTGTTTTGTGTGTTTACAGAGAAGATTACCATGACCCCTCCACAAAGATTTACACGCATAAATCGAGAAATGGTCCAATGAACAACAAAAAAAAAAGGAACGATACAGAGAAGATTACCATGGCCCCCGCGCAGGTTGACACAACAGAAATCGGAAATGGTATAAATTTGCGTCATTACAGAGTCCATCAAGCTCCCGTTAGTGAATGATTTAATCGAGAAATGGTCTAAAATACCGTCCTCGGCCTTTTGACTAGATAAGTGTAGCATCTGTTCTGATCAGTTTATATCGGATCCGGGGTCCATCGGGGCACCAAAAAAAAAAAAAAAAAAAAAAAAGGAGTAAAAATTCCTAGTCTACCAGCCGCTCCCAGCAAAAAACAAAAACAAAAAAAATCCAGAAAATCCGAAAAAGCAACTGTGATGCAGAAAAACAAACTGAACAACTTTTTTGCCTCAGGGTCACATCGGAATTCTTCACCAAATTCAATTTCATTTTTTGGCCCGGCCGAGCAAGTGGTCCCGGGCCACTCTGGTAGCCTTAGCCAAATTCGCTCTTTTCTTATTTCCTTTTCTTTTCTTTTCTTTTTGCATCCATGATCAAGCTTCCCGTTTGATCTCTGAAACATTTAAAAAAAAAAAAAAAAAAAAAAAAAAGAGAAGCAAGTAGCGTGATGAGGAGAGGCTTACTAGGATTCTTAGCTCCTGGTCGCTGGCCTGATGTATATACTTTTCTTCTTTTTTTTAAGTCACAAAATGCAACCATAATATCGTTCGTGCGACTCCCATTCCTGAGCCATGGGCTGACAGTAACTTTCATTAATTTCTCGGTCCAAAAAAAAAGAAAAAAAGAAAAAAAAAAACCATCATGAAGCAAGGTAATATTCCCAGCAGATATCGAAGTCAGGTCTGCTCATGAATGTCCTCTTCAGCCACATGTGAGTGGAGGAACTGCCTGGTAAGCTCCTGAATCTGGACCTCTCCCCAGTGGGCCTAGGTGACTTGGTATACCCATGAACTGCTGCAATAAAGACCTGAGTACGAATCCAAATGGAACTAGATGGATGAGTTCTCAGTTACCTGAGGTCGGTGAGCTCGACGATGATACTGCAATGACTTGCTGTTTTCTGGTCGCCTGTAGCCTCTCTCTGTCGAGGCTGTACCGTAGGTAGGTTAGATTCATAATTTTGTTTGGCTGAGGGCTAACCGAGTGACCTGCCTGTAAGGGAAATTCGTGAGGGACATATCTGCAAATCTGGGAAAATACAGGCCCACTACTAACTGAATTTCCTACAGCTACCCTAACTGCGAATAGCAGGCCGGGCTACCTGTAGAATAGACAGGCCCTAAGAGCCTATGCTAATAGACGGTCCTATAGCCTATAGCTGGGTTGGGAGAGGCCCTAGAGGCCGAAACAGAATCGGTACTGGTCGGTCAGTCAGTCCGGTGTAGGTCGAGTCTAGGCTAGAGTAGCTATAGATAGGTTAGGCACATCAGTTCAGGGCTTTTGGCAGTTGGTGTAGGTCGAGTCTAGGCTAGAGTAGCTATAGATAGGTTAGGCACATCCGTTCAGGGCTTTTGGCAGTTGGTAGCGAGTGCATCCCTGCTGCACTACACGTGAACCGGAAGCGGTGACGGCGCCGCGCTGTGGGAGACTGACATAGCCAGACCTTCGGAGCGCCGGCCATAGCTGGGACCTGCGCTATACTCTGTCATGACACAGGGCTGCCAGAGGTCTGGGCTATTCGAGGTCTGCTGGAGGCGAGAGAAGTTGGTGCCGTGCTGGACCCTCCTCCCGAGTTGGGTCACAGGGTTGTGGCGCTGCAGCCATAGCTGCAGCTTCTTTTTCAGAGGTCATCTTGTCAGGATTTGGTGGCACTGCCGCAGACTTCCACCCGGGAAGTCTTCCGACACTTCATTATCATCAGATACTGTGGCGCTGGTCTTCTTCTTCATCCTCTGAGTGCTGCTTGGCCTCAGAGGCCTGTTTCAGGGTGGTGCTGCCCTCTGGAGGCAGTAATTGGGTGGCGCTTGATGTGATGTTTCACGGGCTCAGGGGTGTCACAAGTGGTTACTCAGGGTTGTGGAGTCAAGCGCTGCTCTTTTCTGAGCAGCGCACTGTAGGTCTGAAGTTATTCTAACAATTCGAGACTCTGAGTTTAATAAACAGTGTGATACCGGATTTGGACTATCATCGTTTCATTGTTTCTTGGATGTGATCTACTCGGCTTTCCTTTATGACTGGTTGTGAGGATTGAGTGGAGTGAATTGCACTTTCAGTGTACCCTGTCATATCGCATGGTCAAGTCTTTCGCAGTGTTTACCTCTCCCTGTGCGGTGTGATACTCCTATCCTCTTCCCTTCCTTCTGTGTATGTACGGGCATACCTGGGAGCTGATGTGAGTGAGTGTTGGTCTTCAGACAACAGACAACCAGAATCATAACAGTTGGTATCGGGGCCATTGGATCCAGACTCTAGACCATCATCATCTGGAGCAACCATCATCATCTGGCTATTCATCTGGAGACTGGCGATTGGTAAAGAAAGTGATCACAGAGAACATATGTCCCTCACGAATTTCCCTTAGAGAGGCTATTTTAAACCTGGTGATTCATCTGGAGACTGGCGATTGGTAAAGAAAGTGATCCCAGAGAACATATGTCCCTCACGAATTTCCCTTACAGGCAGAGGCTATTTTTAGCCTGGCGATTCATCTGGAGACTGGCGATTGGCAAGGAAGTGATCCCAGAGAACATATGTCCCTCACGGATTTTCGTTACAGGCAGAAGCTATTTCTAGCCTGGCGATTCATCTGGAGACTGGCTATTGGCAAGGAAGTGATCGCACAGAACATATGTCCCTCACGAATTTCCCTTACAGGCAGGTCACTCGGTTAGCCCTCAGCCAAACAAAATTATGAATCTAACCTACCTATGGTACAGCCTCCACAGAGAGAGGCTACAAACGACCAGAAAACAGCAAGTCTTCCCCCCCCAAAAAAAAAACAAAAAAAAACAGCAAGTCATTGCAGACCTACCCTCCCCCGGAGCCAGGACCTCCGACCTAGGGGCGTAGGCGTGCAGAGCGTCGAAGGGTAGGTCTGCAATGACTTGCTGTTTTCTGGTCACAAGGCTTGGGCATTATGTTCAGGAGAAGAAGCTAACCACACCTCCTCATTATGAACGTATAAAAGCCCTGATCCAGTCCAAATACAGTCACGACTCACGAGGCTTGGGCATTGTGTTCGGGAGAAGAAGCTAGCCGCACCTCCTCATTATGAACGTATAAAAACCCTGATACATTCCAGATACAGTCACGAGCCTTCGGCATGATTCTGTTCGGTGGAAGAAGCTTGGCACGCCCCCTCATTATCAACGTATAAAACCCCCGATCCAGTCCAGATACTGTCACGAGCCTTCGGCACTGTGTTCGGGGGAAGAAAATAGCCATGCCCCCTCATTATCAACGTATACACAACCTGATGCAGTCCACATACGGTTACGAGCCTTCGGCACTGTGTTTGGGGGAAGAAGCTAGCCTGAGGGGGGCAACAGCTCCGAAGGAGTAACCCGAGCCAGTGGAAAAGAGCCGTCGGGGAGTCCTGCATTTTCTCATTCAGTGTTTTCATTCGTCAATTTCAGTGGAGAGTTCTTTTTTCTTATGAATGAATCTTTCCAGCTCACTGGACAGATTCACACCGTGTCTGCACTTGCTTGCTACTGTTTGACGACTCTGCTTTTTACAGTATCAGCACTTGTTTTCTGCAACTAGTCATCTGACTATCTGACGTATGCAATACAAAGTTGCATTCAATGCACTAAAAAAAAAAAATTCCAAAACCAGCAAAATCTTCAATCCTGTTAAATTCAATGCACTAGACTGTCTATATCACAGAAAACAAAATAATAATAATAAATCGAAAGCAACAACACATCTGCAAGCCAAATCTAATTGAATTATGCCGATTCGTTGCCGGATTAGGCCGATTCGTTGCCGAATTATGCCTTTCAGTCTTCAGAAACTCCGGCAAAATCCGACGTATCCTCTACTCCTCGACGTCTCAAAAAAAAAAAAAAACAATAATCCAATTCGGACAAAACTTCGGCGGTAAAAGAAGAGGGCACAGTGGCACACAACCATCCAGCCGGAATTCCTGCAGACCGAAAGGCATAATTCGGCATAACTCAATTGGAATTTGGATTGCAGAATTTTTGCTGCTTTCGATATATTTTTTTTGGGGAGGTGGGGGAGGTGGGGGGGTGGGGGGGGGGGGTTTCGGAGTTCGACAGAATCCTGCATCCTGTCAACACAGAGCTATGGTCTTCAGACTCTTCACGATGAAGAAGAGAAAGGAGGAGAAAGTGGGAGAGGTGCGGTGCTGAGTCTGCTGACAAAAAGAGGTTTGAGAAAGCTACGGTACCTCAGAGAAGACCGACGAATCATCCTCATGATGGTCACCGTGGTAACCTTCCTCCTTATGCCGACGATCGCCGTGGCAGGGCAGCAACGGTTCCGTGAGAGAAGGTTCAGAAGAAGCTGCTGCTGCTGCTGAACGAGCCTTCTGATAACGAGTACTAGAAGCAAGATCACGGCCTTGATTGCCATAACAGCTCTTAGGAGGAGAGCAACCAGGCAAGTCGTGGCGCGAATGGGCGGCCATCTTCGTCTTCGGTCTTCCTCCTCTTGATTGCTTCGATGATGGCAGTTGGTATCCCTCTCCCTCTCCCTCTCCCTCTCCTTCCTCCTCTTGACAGATGCCGCCAGGCGTCCGCGCCTCCCACCTGGCCCCGCCCGCAGCCTCCTCCCAGTTAAGCGATCTCAAGACGAAGACCCACAGAAGCAAGAAGTTCAGGGTCTGCCCTATAGCCAGCCCAGTCCACAAGCCTGTCAGACCAGAAAAGACGTGGAAGGCAAGGCATAACCCGGCAGTAACACCCACTGCGTAAGACGGGATAACGGAGACCGCCGGTGCGGTTTGATGGCCGGTGCAGCGAGCTACGGCTGCTGCCATCGAGGCCGGACTCTCGACCAATGAGCACAAGCCAACGAATACGAGCGTGTCATCCACAGTCCTGAGAATCTCCGGGTCGTCTGTGAAGAGAGGAGCCCAGATTCCCCTGCACAGAATCATAGTGCAGAGACCCAGCAGCCCTCCTGCAGCTGCCAGGTAGGCGCCCACCTTGGCACACAGCCGCGCGCGATCCGCCCGATGCGCGCCGAGCTCGTTTGTCATCCTTATGCTTACAGCCAAGTACATGCCTGACGGCACCATGAAGTACATGTAAGAGATATTCTCGGCGATGGACATGGACGCGAGGCTCACCGCTGGATCGGGAAGAAGACCGGAGATGACCCCCATGAACTCGTAGGACCACCACTCGAGAGCTATGGCGAAACAAGCAGGAAGGGAGAGAGACAGCAAGGGGCGGAGGTTGGAGAAGCAGTCTCGCGAGAACCCCGTCCAGCTCGACGTGTACCAGAGCCAGATCACGACCAGGAGGGAGAGAAGAATCGTCATGTCGGACAAGAATAGACTCATTGCCACCCCGGCGATCCCAAGGTCCAGCACGTGGATCGCGACCCACCCCCCGGCTGTCTGGACCACCAACGCTAATGCGGTGCTAATCATGATGGGTTGGGTAATAGACTGAGAGCGAAGGAAAGCGGCAAGCGCATTGACGCCTGCAGAGGCGACTAAATCTGGCACGAGGAAGGTCAGGAACTGGGCAGTTACTGCCACGACAGCAGGATCTTGCCCGGTGGCGGCGAGGAGGCGAGGAAGAATCACCCAAAAGCATGCCGTCGACATGCAGACAGCCAACAGAATCAGCAGTCCCCGCTGAAGGGTCAGCGAGAGTTCACCGAACTTTCTCGCTCCGTAGGCCTTGCCGCAGAGAATCTCGATCCCGACGGACATCCCGTTCAACATGCAGAAACCCGTCAGATTGGCTAGTACCATAGCCAGCCCGCCCCCGGCGAGCTTGACAGTCCCCAGCCGACCAAGAAACAGTGACGCGATGGGAAAACGACTCTGCCACAGGAGGTTCATTACGATGATAGGCGCTGCCAGGTGGACTTGCTGACACAACTCGCTGCCCCACTCTCTTCCTCTTACATCCGTACCCGTCGCAGTAAGATCGCCTCTCGATGGAGGAGGCGCTTGCCGATACAACTCGCTGCGCCACTCTCTTCCACCTACATCCGTACCCGTCGCAGTAAGATCGCTTCTCGATGGAGGAGGCGCGGCACACAACAGCACCTCCTCTCCCTTCACCATCGCCGGTGCCGCCTCCTCGTCTTTCTCACCATCTTCTTCCCCAGTCTGCAGGTGGCGGCGCTCCCTCATCAAGCCGCTGCAGCCGTTCGCGCAGCCGTCGCTGCGACAGAGATCGGCACCTTGTCCAGCCGACAGAGGCGGCGCTGCAGACAACACCGCTGCGTCGTTCTTAGTCATCCCTATCCCTATCGCCATCGCCGGTGCGTCCTCCTCCTCTCGCTCACCATCTTCTTCCCCGGTCCGCAGGCGGTGTCCCTCCCCCATCAAGCCGCTGCGGACATTAGCGCGGCCGTCGATGCCACAGAGATCGGCACCTGGTCCGGCCGACAGACGAGGCGCCGCAGACACCACCAGTGAGTCGTTGTTCGCTATCGCCATCGCCGGCGGCCCCTCTTCCTCCTCCCCTCCACCATCTTCTTCCCGAGTTAGTTCCTGAGGCGCTAAGACTGCGTCGTAACTACGACTGCTCGGTAGAGCCAAATTTCAACGGGCGGTCAGTATCTGGGCAACCAGTGCGAAACACAAACACTAAAAAGCTAACGCAGGTGCTACTCCGACAAAAGTTAAAACGCAAAAAAAAAAAAAAAAAAAAAGTTAAAACGCAGGCCTGCGTTCNAAAAAAAAAAAAGTTAAAACGCAGGCCTGCGTTCGAATACAACTACTGTAGTTGTATCGGACAAGCGAAAGCAACTCTAAATTAACCCGGCGCCACTCACCTCTGCTGATATCTCAACGCCGAAAAAGAAAGAAAGGCAGGCCGCGATAGTCGCACATGTTCCCTTTCAAACTGGCACGGTCGCCGATCACCGGTCCGAGATGCTCGCGCGCGCACGCGGTCGTCCCTCTTTCCTTGACTTGACAACACCGAAAGGAGCACATGCAAAATTTCAAACCCCCGCCGTCGGCTCTCACCCCGCCAAGCTGCACAGCCTCGGGAACGGTCGCCCCCTTCCCTTTTTTTTTTTTTTTTTTTTTTTTTTTTTAATTTTATCACCAAGAGCAAAGCACGAAGTTTTAAACCACCAGTACCTACCGGTTGTCAAGCCAGTACCTACCGGTTGTCAAGGCCCGTGGCTCAGGCTACCCGTAGCCCGGTCATTCCCGAACCTCGGACATTATTGCAGAGCCTTGGACAACCTGTAGTGCACTACGGAAAAAAAAAAAAAAAAAATAAGCACAGAAAAACATACAACATTCTGCAAAAACAAAACAAAAAAAAACAAAAAGAATACAACCTTGCCCAACGAGAAAGAATCTTCCTCAATAAAGAGGAAGATTAAAGAGGAAGATTCATTCTCGAGAGACAGAGCGAGAGAGAGAGAGAGAGAGAGAGGGGGGGGGGCGGGTCATGTCTGACGCAGAGTTGGTGCACCAAACTCGGCGTCAGACACTGGCTGATGCCCCCTCTCGTTCTCTCTCTCTCTTTCTCTCTCTCTCTTTCTCTCTCTCTCTCTCTCTCTGTGGCAACGTTCAAATGAGAATGAATCTTCCACGAGAACGCGGAAGTTTTATTCTCATTTCAATGTCTCTCTCTCTCTCTCTCTCTCTCTCTCTCTCTCTCTCTCTCTCTCTCTCTCTCTCTCTCTCTCTCTGTCTCTCTGTCTGACTGAGGTGCACACCATCACTCCAACTGGTGATCTGTATGGACTAGAAACACAGTTCCTCAGAGGGCACTTTTCTAACCACGAAGTTTGACAAGCGCCTGTCGCTGAACTTCCCTGTGGTGAGATATGTCAAGTTTGCTTCAAACAGACCCATCCAATAGTCCCTGAACATCATCCTGTCCCAAGTGGCCAACATCATGGTTATCTGTTCGGACCCTCAGTTGGCCGCCCAGGAGATTTTCCTTGTAGTATCATATATGGTGGCCAATGGTTTTGCTCCTAGGAGATGCATCGCATGCGTATACAAGGTCCTTAACTCGCCGCAGTCTTTCATGCCGGCAAGTGTGGATTCGGAAGAAACGAAGAGGCTCTTTGAGGTGAATTCCCCCACTTTTTCCCACCCTTTATTAACGTATTTTTTCTTTTGTGAATTCAAAATACTTTATTGAATCTACTATGGTGGTTCTGTAACCTTTTTGCTAATTTTTCTTCATGAACAAACCAATTTGATTCAATTTCTCATTGCAACGTGTGATGCCTACTTGTAATACTAAATATATCCCGGCTTATGTGTTGGTGTGTTCTAGCGTGCCCCGACCAGGATGGCTGCTGGGGTAGCTAGCAGGTGCCTTGCCTAAGGCAGGTACCTGTTGCCTGCCTTAGCAAGCCTACCTGATAGCGGGGAAGGGGTGGGCCACACACACACACACACACACACACACACACACACACACACACGAGCGCGCGCACTCAGGCAGGTGGTGTCGGACCTGGTGAGTACCTCGATTCGCTGCCTAACTAATGTTTGAACCAGGACCCCTTGGAAACGATGGTGGCTTTCCTACTTCCCCGGCCACTGCTGTAACCCAACAGGGGTACCACCCCTCCTGGCCCAGGAGCTGGGCCATTGTCACCCTTGGTACCTCCTTAATTCAGCACTGAACGCAGGGCATCTTTTACGAACGGTGACCATGCTGCGATACCTTGAGCATAAACCCCTTGAGTCGAGGCCATCATCTGTTTCCTAGAAGGGTGCCACGTACTATCCCTATGATGCTTTGAAAAAAACCCTCGGGAAACCGAGTGACCCGCGCTCCAAACTGTTGGCCGGCTTACGGTGTTTCCAACCCTTGCCCTCTGGTACAAGTCCATGCGGTGTAAGCAAGTCCTCCCTTCCACCGGAGCATTTCGCGTCTTCCAAGTACAGCTGAAGTGCGCTCACCACGATCACACAGAGGCATTACGCGGTGGTCGGGTGTGTGACGTGCAACCTCATGCCCTGTGCTGTTTTCAGTTCGGAGTGTTAAAGATGCGGAAAGAAGGCCCCGAAAAACAGCAAGATGGGGTGTGCCAAGGATTTTTGGGAAATTGAGTGTGGGGACACAGACAGAACTGAGATCCCCCATGTTGGTCTGATGCAGTGAGAGAACTGCTGGATTGCGGCGCGGATTGTGAAGAAGCGTGCGCGCGGGGTTCGTGACGCGGGAAGTTCAAATTCAATCCAGAAAATACTGTCGGACCTCCCACCGAGCCACGGCTCTTCGTTTGGAGCGAAAGGGGGCGGGCACGTACTTAGTATCCCGCTTTCGGACTAGCTCTCGACGCCGCTCGTTACACAACTTATCGATCGACCAGAAGGATAGCGTGAAGATTCCAAAAAAAAACGAAGAGGGAAAGGAAAGTTCAGAGAGAGAGACGAAGACTCGTGTATAGTGAGGTCGGGCACTGTTCACGTGTATTGATCGCACATGGCTTTGAAGTCCCTCATTATTCTACGAGGGTATGCTGCATATGTTGCGCAGTATAGGGCAGGTGGTATGTGCGGTATATCCCAAATCACAACCTCAACAGATCTAAACACTCGTGCATTATCGAACAAAATCCCAACAACATTGCCTCTGTCATTGATCCGTCGGATGGTGTCTTAATAAAATAAAATAAAACGAATTTCGTGCCTATATGCATACATTCACTGTGGAAGCGGCCGTCATGCAACGCTCCTGCCTTATTGTGTAAAAAACAAGCAATCACAATATCTTTCGATGGTTGTTACACACGCATCCACCGTTCACAAGACAAGGTGATCAAGTCTCAGCAAGTCCGGAGATTTCCCAGGAAACTAATGGAAGAGTTCCGGAAGAAGTTATTCCGAGCATACATTCACAAGTGCTCATTCCATCACAAACCGGAAGATCGACTCTCATACATGAGTATTCACATCAGCGAGAGAAGAGAAGAAGAGGGAGAGGGGGAGAGAGAAGCAATATTGCGCCAGGAGGGAGAGGTCACACTCGGAATGCAAGAGAGGGTTCAGCTTTACTGCCGTGAGCTCACACCAAAGAATGGACTCGCAACAAGGGGGCGTACTCGCCGTTAAATTCCAACATGGCCCCGGGCCAATCATCCACTCAACTCAAGTCACTTGTCTTCATTCATGCACCGACGATCCCAGCCGTCGCTTGTCATCGTCCAATACTGTGATCGTCACCTCGCCACCCTAGCCTCGGCTGTCCGACTCGCACTATACACACACATCATCTAACCACTGCTTTCCGGAAGCTGGCGAACGAGTTGAGAGAGAGTTTTGCGGGTGCGTCGTCGGAATTTATAGTTGCGAGAAGGGAGAGAGGCGCGGGGAAAGACGAAGAGTGAGGTAGAGGAGGGTAAAGGAGGGTTTGAGAGTAAATGCCCGTCGAAAGCCATGTTGATCCTCCTCAACTCGATTTCAGCCAATCAGAATCGCCGCGCAATAAGAACCTACACGACGCTTCTCCTTGGCTAGATGGGGAGAGATGATCAACTGGGTTTTCGAGCCCGGATCTTAGAGCGGGAAGAAGAGGAGTGCGAAGGATAGCGCGACACGGGTCCAAGGTTCAGATGATCAAGAAAGAGAAAAAGGGCGTGCGCTGGGAAGGGGAGGGAAAAGCAGTTATAGGGGGAAGGAGCGAGAAAGCATATGCGCGCGAAGGGAGGCGTTGAGAGGGGCACAGGGAGGAAGGAGGAGGGAGCTTGCTTGCATGGCGCCCGTCGACAAAAGGAGAATGGGCACCAAAACAGTTGCAGTTTTCCCCAATCCTGTGCTAATTCAAAAATTGAAAGTAGTTCAAAGTACCATATCTGGGCGCAAAGTAGGCGCGGGAAAGAAAGAAAGTCCTTCGTCCATCCATATTCCTACATTGGACCTACAAGAATTCCCAGAGTTTTCCAGGTCGAGGCCGATAACATTCCCGCGTGAAAGGTCGCGTGGTATTCCGTTAATTCCGGAATTCCTAACCGTCGACCCAAATTCCCAGCGCGCTCGCTAAGGCGCGCAAAATTCCCATGCATTTACAAAAAAAAAAATTGATAGATTTCATCGAGGTACCTTTAATCGAGCAAAAACAGAGAGAGAGGGGGAGGGGGGGTTCTCACGGGTCTAACGAGACATATCTAGACGCAGAGAAATGATGGGGGAGAGAAGGGGTCCGAAAGTTAGCGCATGTCCGGAAGCTGGTTTGTCATAGGTGTGCTCCGGAGTACTGCGGAGAACTCGGCGTGTTTTCCCACCGCCCGTATATGCGCCTTCTTCACACTAGCCGAGCGTCGGAAACTGACGCCGAAGACGTTTTTTCCGCTTGGGCCATCGCTACGTACTGCTGCGCCTTTTGTAGGGGAGTTGCGGCTGCATGATTCATAGCGGTAATACGACCTTGATGACCTCGGGCTCCCCCCCTTTCTCTTCCCTCCCCCCATCCCCACACCCCCTCTCCTCTCCTCCACTCCCCCATCCCGTCCCTCTCTAATCAACCCATACCCCACTTAGCCCCAGTCTCTATCCTTCCTTCATAACA